TGAACGCACGACTCTTGTATCTGCATCGTTGCATCTGAGATATCTCTTGATTTACGCAGAAGGAAGCTCACTGCGCAGTCTCCCGTCACACGCCTGGTAGGCGCATAACGCGCACTGCCCGCGATTTGTATGACCAAGGGCAAAGCCGCTTGTAGCCAAAAGTAGATGCGATTAACAGCATACCAAGATGAGTATACTGGGCAGAAAATACTAGAGCAGGGGGCAATGGAAAGCAAATTGGTGTAGCACACCAGCGCATTGGATTCATCGTCCGCGAGGCAGTCTCCAAGACAGCCAACAATGTAGAGTTAAACCTGATAAATTACTACTTTAGCCGATTCAAAGCATAATTTTGGGCTTTCTACCCGCCCATTAATCTTCCGCCACTCCTTCGTCTCTTAGTGGTCCGCAATGCCCAACGAATATGGCAAGATCTTGCTACAGCAGATTGAGCAGCAGAGGAGGCAGAGGTTGAGGCAACGAGCTGAAGAACGTGGTCTTCCCGTGCCTCCTGATGAACATTCAGGGTCCTTATCTGCCGGAGACACTACGCGTGTAGCAGACTGTAGGGCACTTGCTCCCACATCTGCAGGCGGTGTCTCTCCGCATGACTTTCAAGTAAACCCCGGCAACAGCTGCACTTCACACTTAGCCCGTACCCAAAGCGTACTGCACAAACGCGTGTACAGCACCGCTTATGTCATCAAGTGTATTCTTTACAGAGCTAGTAGCTTCAAAAAGCGCCGTCCTGGTTCCATCCGCTTCCCGCAGGTTAGAATAGGCACAAAGTCAGCTAGATAAACTGACTCATACTCTCGTAAACAGTGCATGATTTGATTTTACTGCTCAGGCAGTACCTCAAGGAGCCAGTCGTACTGATAATTCCGCAGAAAGCAAGAATGATGACTCACACCAGAACGTTGCGCAACCAACCATCGATGTAGCACGGGCTCTAGAATCTCTTGCATCTTTAGCACCGCTGCTGGCTCGCCATGCGTCACCTCCTGCATCTCAGTCTGGGGCAATGACAGCTTCCTACATTTCTTCTGTGGTCCCTGCGCCGCTCATCAACCAACAGCCTCTCTTACTTCAACCAACTGCCCTCGTGCATCCACAATTTTACCAACTGGGCTCACAGCCTCCGCCTTACCCATCCCAGCGCCTTGCTGAAGAGCCTGCTATGGAGCGGAAGTTCACTTTGCCACTGCGAAGTCCTGGTTTGTCTCAACGAATCCCTTTCCTATGGCAGCGTTAGCATGTAATATATTTGTAGCAACGCGCAGCTTCCCTTCTGTTGCCCGCACATTCCCTGCGCATTAGAAAAACTCTTGCCTTTCGAAATCAACGAATGATAACAAACTATATGCATGCCATGTTGCAGAAGAAGCACTGCTGCGAGCCACACAGAACCCGAATCATCTGACAAACGCAGTAAGCTTCTGAATCAGCAGAAAAAACCGGCAACAGTCAGAGCAGTTTTCTAAAATGCGGCGAGATTAGAATTTCAATGAGCGTTTTTCATTCGGAGGCTTGAGAGCTTGCAGCAGGCGATGCATAACGGCGCTGTACCGAAGATGCACCAAAGCTATGCTACGTTCAAGCCTGGTGCAACATGAAGCAACTCGGCTCAAGCCACATTACATTTTGCTCTTCAAATATTTCCTGTAGGATGGTTCCGGGGGAAAGGAACTCTCACATAAAGCGGATTCATGGTCAGCAAGTGCTTTACGTGACTCTAGTGCGGTCGATCCTGGTCAGCTGCGCTTGACGGAAGCTAAAAAGCGGTACCAAGAAGACCTGCTTCGTCAGATGCGGGAACGAGAAGCGGCACGCGAAGAAGAAAAGTCCAGGAGGAAACGTGAAGACGAAGAGGAAAGGATTCGTCTGAGTAAGGAGATAGAACAGGAGAGGGTGAGGCACTATTTAGAGTCAAAGCAACACAAATTATCAATTTAGCGCACTGTTATAGTCTCTATATACTGTAGGCAAAACTGAATTTCAACTTGATTCACTGGTATAGTATTTCGATGCCGTGGGAAAATTTGTTCTCAACTGAGCCGTGCGGATGCGTGCATTGGTGTAGCTTCAAAAGGCAGAAGAAGACGCAAGGCAGCTTGTAAAATCAAAGCAGCTGGCGGCAGCAAATGTTGCAGCGGCCGGCCGGACGAAGCAGCGGGATTACAATGAGTTTCGCGACGTTTCTTTAGATGCTGAGCTGTGCAGCCAAAATGGGCTACCGAAATTTAAGCGGTCCACTTCCAACGAACAGAACACACTGCCAGAGAATGAAAACGCGACAAAGAATCTTGAAAGAACCACACTCTTGCAAGAGCTAGCCAAAGAGCCAGAGAAGAGCGAGCACCTGAACGATAAGCGAATTCACCAGATGCCTGTAAATGGTGTTGATGTGGAGCGCCTCATAGTTTTAGGTCTTGAAGCCTTACAAGCCGAGGTTCGAATGCAAACGGAAGAAATGCGATTTTTGAAGAATCAGCAGCGCCAGGTACTTCAACAAATACATAAAGGCAACGGAACCGGAAACGTTTGGTGTGAGTGCGAGAGACAGGACTCCTCGGTACAGGCGGGGGATTGCCGCCCTCAGTTTTCAAGTTCACACCCACGCAGTTTCCTTTTTAATAGTGCGATTCCTGCTCATCAGCGAGAGCTCCAAAATCGACGTGCTCTAATTACCTTGATGTTAAGGAATGCGGGTGTTTCTGATCCGGAAGATTTAGTGCGGCGCCTTGCTGACAGCGGCATCATATTCTTGAGCAGCGACGCTGCATCCTCTGGAGCAGTGCCGATCAGCGCTTTTCCCTGCCATTTTGCCAACGAAGTGTCTGATGCAGCAGCACAAGCAGGAGATGACTCATCCCTCTGCAACGCAGAAAAAAGTTGGTCCCTTCACCATAGCCCAACGAAGCACTCTTTATCCCGTGGACCCAGTAAATCCAGCTGTTGTTCACTTAGGGAAATCACAGCAGAAACTTTCCATCACCTTGCAAAGGAAGAAAACTTACGTGCTAAGCAAGAGAACGCTCCTGGAGAGAACCCAGAAGATCGGCCTTTACCAACACTTCTGAAATGTCAACAGCAATGGAAAGCAAGCCGGCTCTTGTGTCATGCTGCGAAGCAGTCGCAGTGCTTGGAACCCCAGCAGGATGCTGCAGAGACAAAATGGTCAGGTGCCTTAACACAAAGGAGTAATCACAGATTCGTCGACAATGAAGTGCAAGGTCAAGGGGAGGGAGAGGCACGGCAATACAGACATGTCTTGACAAAACAACTTAGCAAGTCTCTTGAATTGCCAGCTGACCGGAAATGGAGACTAAACGAATTGTGCGCCTGCATATCTCACTGCGTTCCCCAAACGTCTAGCCATGGTCCGACCACTTGTGATCCCGGCACAGACTGCGCTGCAAGATACATATTCAACAGTTATTGCACCAGCCAGTGCGAATCTGAGCTTCCATGCCAAACCATTATTCTCCCATATACAACAGAATGCGCAAGACTACCGGTTGGGCAATAGCAGTCCAAAGCACGCGTGCCCAGGCATTTGGAGCCAGTGGCAAAGGATGGGTGGCCTTCTATCAGCGAGATGGAAACACTTGAAGGGTCGACTGCGCAGACAGAGATGCCTGAAGAGCATATTTGTCATACCAAGCCCACAAAGGTCGAAAGTGGGCGGGTGTGGGGGCGAAGTGGCGCTGCACAGGAAACAACTGGTTTGACAGGGCACAAGAGCTTTGACACTGGTATTGCAAGACTCGTGGCGGAGTTTAACCGAAACCAGATTGACAGCGTTTTTGATCAGGTTTCTGCATCCGACACCCGTCCAACCTGCACGGCTTCCAGTGTCAACGCTGCACCTATAAAATTTCAGGAGCCACTGGAGTTGGAGTGCCAAGTGCTCCAGCAATTCAGTGCTAGTGAAGCACCTAGTGCGCAAAGTTTTCGGCGTTCCAGAGTCGCAACCAGCCATCCACAGGTCCAAGATGGCCCTGTACGCACTTATTCACTACCTCACGCTCAGGAGCGTCTCAAATCGAAGCTTTCGTGGGAAGCTGATACAGCCCTCCCAGTTGATGAAGGATCTCCTGCTCAGTCGCATGCGATGAAAGCCCAGTCGAGCAAATTCGGGCCTCGTCCTTCAGCGACGTCGCAACAGCCTCCGCTTGCAGTGTCGGCCCAGCAAGGGGACCACCAAAACACGCCGGAGTGTATTGAAAACTTTAGCCCCATCCCCGCAACGCCACCTAATAAACACGCTTTGCCCACTAAAAATAACTGCGCACCCCCGGCAGCTGTTTCTAATGGGAGCAAATCGTGGATTAGCAGAGGCTTTGGAGGCAGGCTCGCGAGGAGTAACTCAAGGCCGCGTCAGTAGGTTGGGCATCTTCCAAGCCTGGAATGCAAATGTGCATCCCGTATTATCTTGAATGCTTCTGGCATCCATAAATTTGCTGAATAACCACCAGCGAAAACCCCACTTTTTTAATCAGTCGGCCCAACTCATTGTGTGGATGCTGAGCCATTGTATGAATGATGGGTCTCAATCGCTCGCTACGTTCTACTGATTTGGAACGTTTTTAATTGTCTGCACAATTTTCTGATACGAGGCCTCTCAAGAGTTTAATTCTAGGATATCTTGCATGTATTTGCTGTTTTAAAGCAATGCCACCACTAAGTAGAATACCACTTGGCAAACAACAAAACGCTCACAGATAGTCACGCGAAACCCCTATATCTGTTCGTCTGCAAACTAGATCACTAATACTGCGAACAGAAGAAAGATGGTGCCAGTCTAATCGCCTGTGCAATTCGGACCTCAAAAACAACAGTTTGTGATGTTTCAGGCATGCAACAAGCAGGAACACGCAGCGTCCCACCAGCCTGTGCAAAATTGCCAACAGATAAAGTGTTCAAACCAGACAGTCAGCACAGCAGCTTACAAAACACGTATTTTCAAATGCTTAAGCTTAAAGGAATGTGGAAAATTAGTCGAGCGGTTGCTGGGTTGGCAGACCTCCCCACGACTGAGGATACCACTTTGGAAATACGCGCCGATAAAGGGGCAACAGAACCTACAAAGAACAATGAGAAAACACACAGAAGCAAGCTCCTTAACCTGAGCGAAATCTTTAGCGAGAAATTCCACCATCTATGAGTTGAGCGTCGACCACATGGACACTACTAGCTTCAACGGCGAACTAAGCACCAAACTGCGTTTTGCCTGCCACTGACAGGCACAAAACCCGATATTGCCTTCTAAGGTGTATGCACAGGCAAGGGCTTCCAGCACTAGAGTGTGAAAGTTTGTGTGTCCGTAATGCATAAGTTATCTGCGCCAATGGCTCCGCTGCATCAATCGCCTTTGATAGATTGCAGACCCTACCTCGTCACTTTGCTTGAGATAGTCACTGAACTTGCACTTCATGTAACCGTGAGTGCCTAGAGGTTCAACAATATTCCCGCGTAGCCCTCTCTTGGTGTGCAATTCTATTGGAGTGAACCATCTAGAAGAAACACAAACGCAGGTCGATCAGGCAAGCAAACGGTAAGCTGCAAACTGCCATCAATCCTAGTGATAGGCGAGTGGAGTGACGGCGGCCTAGGATTCAGTTCTAGAGAACAAATGGAGTCTGTATAGAACTCTTTCGAAACTGAAGCTGGCAGTTGCACGAAGTTCCATCATATCTAAATGCATCATTCTCTTCCACTCACCGCACGTCGTCGGGATTAAAAAACATGAAGCGCACAATTGCTTTGCGCCTGTGTACCTTGAATGGGTGACCACTGAGAAGTACACGTTTTATAATCAAACGGCTACTTGCTCCATTCACCGGAAGTACTGAGCCCCAGGCTGTAATACGCAGATTGTCGGGTTCTGGCCAGAAACAAGGCATAAACTACAGGAGAAAACGAGTGGCCTCAATGTCTATAACTTGGCTTTCCCACAACAAAATGGTATCCGCATATGCAGCGAATATTTCACCTGAGCTATCAGACCGAAGCATGATACACGGCGAGGGTGGGAGCACCAGCGGTGAATACACCGTTGCAGTCAGAGTGGAGCCTGGTTCTGCCCAGCGCTTGAACTTCCATTTAGCTGCACTGCGTACGCCTTGCCTCGGCTCTTCCGAGTAAATCGGCGAAGCCGGAAACCTGCGTCCATTAAGTTCACCGAATCCCAAAGAATAAACGTATTAATGACAGGTGTGTCTCTTCGGCTCTGTATAACTGAGTTGTGGGACATCTACACGGACTGATACCAAGATATTCACCTCCGGAAACCGCAAGCCATCAACATTGGATCCTTGCTCTTTATTGGCTGGTCATCGCAGAATGTTAGCTGGGAGTGGACAACTGCCACTTGGGTCTCATGCTGCAGCAGTTGTGAGACTAAAAGGAAGTCGGGCACCATCAGATCGGCGTCTGCACTGGCGACGGCACCTGCTGTGCAGGTTTGATTGCTTGCCGAAAACCGATTCGCTATTCGTCCTGTCATCGCCTCGACCAAAGCGTCGTACAGACCTTTGCCTTCAAGGGGAGGATGCTGTTGTACTAGCTGCAGTAGCATGTACGAATGACGCAGAGGCATCAGAAGACGGCAGAAGCGGCCTGAGAATCCGCCTGTCAGTCGGCAGAGCTCCGCGTGGGCGCGTGACGCAAATACCGCCAAGCCCTGATGAGCACACACACCTTCCCGCTTGTATAAAGAAAACGGCAAGCAAGTGACATGCCTCCGAAAATTAGTCGCTTCTGATAAAGTCTCTACTTCGGATGTTTGTAGTGACGTCAAAAGAATGCATTTGCACTAAACAAAAGATCACCTTCAGGTTGGACACATCAATAATGCGACCATAACCTATCGGTAAATCTTCGTTCTTTGCCCATGGGGAAGAACGGAAGCTCTTGAGACCACGGTACTTTTGGAAACGCTCCTTTGCCGAGATGTTCAATGGTGTGTCAACCTGCAAACCGCAAGTTATAGCACCTCTGCTACTTTCAAAGGAGTTCCATCTGCTCACTTTCGATTATGGTGGGATTTTCCGTGAAAATAGCCACCCAGCGACGTTGTAACCGAAAGGTGAAAAGTACGTGAAACGCAATTTAGCGTACTTGATCTGGGAACTCCCTTTCCATCTCTGCTGCTTCACGGCGTTGAGCTGCGTACGCCTTGCTGAGCAGCACAATACGGTCAAAGTCAACGACCTGCCTTTTCAGGGGTCGACTGTGCCGCTACTGTAATTTCCAGCTCAACTGGAAAAAACGATCTCGTGAACCTTTCTAACTGTTCGTGCTAAACCGTCACTGCACGCCAGACGCTGACTTATCGGCTTCCATTTGTTGCTGTTCTGCACCGTTCAGGGTCTTCCAATCATCATCAACTTCGTCGACTACGCTCGTAGTTGGGTCAGTGTTCGCTGAGCAGCACGCTTCACAATAGGTGAATGGTTGCATCCCGTACTTGTACTTCTAAAATTCCAGAAGTATCTCTGCTTGACACTGTAGGGGCATCGCCGGCCGGCTCACCAGCAATAGCCTCTTCCTCCTGCATTTCGAAGTCGCTATTCTCATTTGCTTCCTCTTCGCTGTCGTTGTTTGTACCATCTGTGTCGGACTCCAGCCAAGCTCGCTCGTAATCTCCTACATTTCTGGGAACCCGAACGCGCCTGCGATTTGCTGACGCCATCCCATCTTCTGCTGTCATCTCTTCTCCTGTGGGCCAGGTTTGTTCCATAGCAGCAGTATCCAAGGGCTGCAAGGGTTGTAACGCCTCCACCACTTCTGTGAAGAGGCAGAGGACGCACATGTCAAGCCACACCAAAGCGCATTTCTTCCGAGAAACTGTGTCTTGAGCTCCTATGTTATCTTGGCACCTACCCACCAGACGCCCACTGCAACTACTCCAAAACCATACGGCATGTATTCCACGCCGCTCAGATTCGACAGCTGCAAAATGCGTTCCAACCTTGCAAGTTTGCCACGTGAGCTTCCACTTCCGCTTTTGCTTGGCCATTGACTAATGAAGGTTCCCGCCTCTTTGCCTCATACGCTGGCTCCATAGCCTCAATCCTGGAAAGCACGAAATCTCCTACTCCTGTGATGTGTACTGGCAGGCTGAGGACCACAAAAAAATTCAAAATATCGCGAATAAATTCACACTGACAGGCGTTCGCGCACACCCCTGCCATTTGGTACGTTGCTCCGTTATACTGCGCAAAGAATTGATTGATGCACACTGTAGGGTGCGTTACTTACTTGCAAGTCAATCCCGCTCCTCGGACAAGCCCACAAGCTTCAAGGCAAGGCTCGGGCTGAGCCGCAGGGTCTCCCGAAAGGTGATGCCACGCAATACGCCAACTCAAGGCCAGCAGGTGTCCCCGCCTTCTGCTAGCCGCTGCCTCGGCGCCTTTTGCAACAGTTTTCGTATTTGTATCGCCCTGTGTCAGCGACGCAGCTGCTCCCAATGCTCTCAAGACATTATGCCAGTCTGCATCGCTTCCGATGCTGAAAAATTTTCTTCAGGTCACAACACAGCACATCGGCTTCGAGACGTGGTTCCGCGATTGCCGTCTCGGCAGAGACACACAGACGCGCCGATATTTGATCCTTTGAGCGAAAATGGGACGCCCTGCTTGGCTGCTCAGCTGCTGCGATTACATCATGAAAAGATAGGGCATACTCATTCTAATTCATAAGTAACGCCCGTAACTTATGGTATGCTTACCTTTCAGCTCCAAGCTCGGATTCGAAAAAGCGGCGCATGAACTTAAGACTTTCTGATGCTGAGCTTTTTCCTTTTGGCGCATGCGCCGGTTCCAGCACTGAAGGATCGACGCATCCAACGCCAATAACTGACGGAGGAAGACCTTGCAGCTTGAGGCCCTGCAGTATTTTGTATCCCCGCCTACTAAAGGCACTTCTTTCGTACGTGCAGCTGCCTCCGAAAAGGCACACTAAAACGTCACAGCAACTACAGAGATCCATATACCGTAGTAATTCACTTGGCCTCTCCGGTGGTTCTCCCTCCTCCAGCATTGTTCCGTTCCCTGCTGTTTCACTTATGCGTGGGGCGGGGATAAGCAACACATTCTGTTGGTACTTCTTAGGTATGAGTGGATTTCTTGCGTAAGCTGGCAAGGAGAATGTATACCGGCAATAGTGTGGATTTTGCTGGGGGGATGCAACGTCTTTTGAAGTGTTATCGTCACCGTCCATGTCCATCCCAGCTATCCCCTCGCAGGAGGCTTTCCCATGGTCCTGAACTAAGTCCTGCGACAGTTTATGAAACACCTTGTCAATGCAAACAGAGTCTGAGAAGGGAAGTAGCACCACAACCTTGGGTGGGGGGCCATCAGCGCTTGGCACCTGCCGCTGATGAAGATCACGGGACCGCTGGACGCGACGTTGCTTAGACTGCTGCACTCGCTCAGATTTTGTAGTGGGCTTATTAACAGCGAGAGATGCAGCGTTAGCTGCAGCAGTCCTTCGCTTTTCCTTGAGGCTCTTCGATTTTGAGGATGAGCCTTTGAAGGCCTTGTTCTGCTGCTTGAGAGCAGAACGATGGCGATGGCCCATCGTCACGATGGCTAAATCGCCAACAGGCGTCCCCTAGAGGGTGAGAGTGAAGGAAGAAATGGGCACACTGACTAGCCAACAGTGAAATCTGAAGGGACCACTGGAGACCGAAGGCCCCACAGTACTGTATACTGCAAGATATTGGTGCCCACAAGTCACGTCAACTGTCAGTAGGACGCGACTCAGATACTTTCATGAGAGCAATGTGATACACAGAGAAGAGCGGGTGATTTCACGGAGGGCTCAAAACTGTTGTTGCATGCGCGGGGATTACCAGCAGCTCGGTATGCTATATTCGGCATCAGTATTGCACATACAGAATCGAGGAAGCCACCTTCTTTGACTAAAATAGACAATTTAAAAGAGTAACGCTCAGCAATGTACTATTATTACTAGGGTTTCAGATGCCAGAAGCAAGAAGCCATAGGTATTTATGCTTGGGGCTGGGTCTGCCAGCACGAAGGAAGGCCCGCAATACTGAGTAGAAATAACTTCTCAGCTACAACGTAGAGCAAATTAGCTTTTAGAAGCAATCGGAACGAGGTAGGCGAACCTTCTTGTAATTTCAATAACGCATCGAGCCTGAGATTTATCTGTTTCTGCCAGTGCGCACGTTTCGTAAATCCAGAAATCCCACTGGGTTTTCATTCGATGCAGCAGCTACTCTGGGAGTTAGCGCATTGAATATATTAGTTTTTTAAGCTGCTTCTGGATAAGGGATCTCAGAGTTTTCTGTGGCTTTTTTGTTCTAGCCTTTTAGCAGCTAAAGGTTTTCAACTATGCACGCCTTTGTTGTTTGTCAAAGCTTTCAATGAATATAAGTGAAAATAAATTTTGTTTCGTTTTATATACTTTTAAAAACGCCCCCACTATGCTCGTAGGAGGAGCGCGGCACGCTTCTCGCCGTAATTTGCTTCGAACATCATGGGGAGCTTTCTTCAGCGGCCAGGATGCGCCTTAGAATATTTCATGAAGGATAGCGGGATAAAAATCACCTCACTGCGATCAAGCCTGGGGTCTATTTCTCCGATTTTGCTCATGATTTTTCGGGCAATTCTTAGCATTTCAACCAATGAAGAATCACCTTCTACTGTTCTGTGAATGCTTAACCCAAGACGCCACATGTGAATTCAGTGGCGAGCCCCTCGGCTGTTACCTATGAGCTCACACGAGAGACAGTTCGATTAATACAGTGTTTCATCTAGTTTTCTTGCTCAAGTCAAAACAAGAGCACTCACGGGGACTTCGGTAGGATGAATTCCCTAGATATTCTATTGCAGCAGTTCTTGGGGAAAAAAGCATCTCAAGGCAACGCATACTAGGAACTCAAAGCAATAGTAGCCATTGTTCAGAAGACTAGGTAAGCGAGGCTTTTATGAACGATATCTTAATGCGCAGCAGCTTTGCATCCGCACATAACGAGAAAAGCGAGCTGTCCCTCGTCAAGCACACCGTCAAGTTGAGAACCAGTGTCACAACCAAAAGAAATAGCCGTTGTTCTGAGAGCTTTTGGGCGTGTCGCGAGCAACAGGGAAACGAATAAAGGAATAAAGATGCTAGAAGTGAGGCAAGTATGTGCGTCTTGGCGAGTGGCCAGCTCCTCGAAAAGTACATTGTGCCATCAACATGCTAGAGGGGCCGGAAGATAGTTGGTTTACAGAAAGATGATTGAATGAAGGGCCTTTTCAGATTAGCAAAAACCCGTTTGCAGTCTGAGGGCTTCGGTGCCGGGACAAGGCAAGCAGCGACCTGCTGAAGAAATTCTTTGCTCTCCAAGACGCAGTGCTCTTTGAGGCCGACTTCAGCGGTACCACTTGGCCAGAAATAGCATTCGAAGGCGCCGCGGCAGAGCCACAGAGCAACGGGTTTCACGAAAATGACGTGTTGCAATCTTGCACCCCAAATATTGCAATCGGTGAAAAACAATAAAACATGGCCGCCTCAGGTAAGGTACACAGTACAAAGGGTAGATCAGCTCGCCTGTTAAACGATGATGCCAGTAAGCTCTATATATCAGTATTCTAGCCTTCGCGCACGCGGTCAAGTCTCCCCCGAAAACTGTTATCGGGCTCCGTATCCGAAGTTCGGCAAATGCTGCAGCTGCAGTTGCTGGAAAAGCGAGAAGCTGCGGGATGCGGAAACTTTGGATAACTGGCCTCGACGGCACGGTCGACGGGTTTGCCTCCACTTTCGATATTTTGCCACAAAAGCGGTTTCTATCTTTTGTTGGACTATCATGTGTTGCATTAAGCTGTGCCTATAGCCCTGTGGAGGCCCACTTCAGAGTTATGCATGGCATCAGCCAACTGATTTGAGGGCTATCGAGAGTGGAGGAATGAAAAGCGAAACTGCAAGGAAGAAGACGACAAGCACAGTGCTCTATGAAACTTACAGAGAACATAGTTGGACGCTGAATATAGCAGGCAGCCCTCAGAGCCGAGTAAAAGGATCTACTTAGCATCATATCAAGTAGCTACTACGAGACTGCACTGGGGTCCCTTAACAGGGAAACAGTTGAGCCCAAAAGACGTTATTGGGAATTGCGAGCAAGATAAAAGTCACCAATGCGCACCTGTCCCGCGCTTTTCCTGTAGGTTGCCTTGGATCAACCTCCAGCAGCAAGCACCTTCGGGAACTATGGCGTGGTAGAATGAGTGTGAAATTAAGAGACACTACAAAAAGTGTGGCTTTTGTAGCGCACTTGATCTTGTGTAACCAATGCTTAGAATAAACGGAGCCGTAGGCTCTGTGCCAAGGAATTTCGCACTTTGTTCGTTTTGAGAAGTGAAATCGACCGCAAGCCCGTGATTGGTTGGGTGAGACTGCAGGGTTTATGTTTAGAAAAATGCCAGCCGAGACTTTGTATGTTGAATTCAGATGGGAAAGGGGAGAAAATGGAAGAGATTTTACGCAGTTGAATTCTTCAATTTGACTAAGCTCACGTTGAACTTACTCACTAGTGGGTTTATCCGGGTCAATCTGCTCGTAAGAGGTTATTTGTGGGTCAAATGGCCTAAGAAAAACGCTTCTTATTTTGCCTTCACACATAGCAGCGGGATCGTTTTAGAACAGAGCAGACCCACTGCTCAGGATATGCTTGCATGCATCTGGTCACCGGACCTGCAGCACAACTGATCCACCACAAGAATAAACCTCATTGGCATCTCACATTCTTTGCGTGACTGCGACTCCTAAGGAAAAGATACCTGCGTACAACAAGTTATGCGTACCCATGCCCCAATTTAGGCCACTGGTCATCTGCGTTGGAAGCGGATTCGAATCACTTAATTTAACATTTCACCGCCTCATACGTACGGACGGACCTTTTGCGGCACTCCCCTTAGACGTGATTAGGAGAAGAAGTTTGCTGGTGCTCGCCGAGTGACATCAGCTCATCTGACTCCACCCTACGTAGCTATGCCACCACCATAATATCACCAACGTCCCCCGCATCCCTCCGCAAAACACATCATTAGTTATTGACTCTGGGCTTATGACAGCAGGTGCGATGATGTGCACACAGGTATGATGTATGGGTTGTATATCGTACCACAGTGGGACGGCCGGCGTTTACCTGTCCCATATGTTCTGCTTATGTCTGTTGCCGGTGAGTTTCGACCCTCGGGCCATGTAATTCAGAGGTATTCTATTTTCTATTAGACTGTGGTTGACTGAAGTCCTGCTAACTTGCGTGAGAGCACTCCATGCACGCCTTACCTGTTATGTGACTATGATACTGTTGAAAGGATATGAAACTCAACGTAGATTCCTTAACTAAAGCTGGAAACTGCTGGGTTTTGTGCTCTACGGATCCAATTGTTAATTCAGAGGGCCCTTAATGCCCATGTTTGGATGTCGTTTCTTGGTTTGGTGTAAATGCAGTTCATTCTGTCCTGTCCTCTTGGCCAAAAGAAATTATATTCACGAGCACAAAAGGGTTGGCCGCATAGCCGCTTCAACATCTGCCTAACATTAGCAGAAAACTCCAGCCCTCCAAGGGAAGCATGAAGAGGTAACGCCTGACTGCTAGCGCGGTGCCTAAAATAAAGGCTGTGGTGCTCATATAGCTGCATCGCCTCGACAAGCTTCACTGGGCTTCAGTTATCGTAAACCTAAGGGGGCTGCTGCCACTTAGTTGCCGGTGGCGTCGCGTGGCAACCCTTGCTGTGCAGCTGCTTCCCCAGCAGCCCTAGTGGCATGAAGAGCTGCGATTTCTGCTTCCTCGTCGCGAGTGTGCATTAGCTCAACCTCTGCATCTGTGTCTTCTGAAGAGATCTCAAACGGCGCTCCTAATTGAGGTGGCGCTTGGTGACGGACTTTGGCTACTGGGTGGCTTTCAGAAGTACTGCTGGAATTGCAGGATCCTGGAGTTCCACCTAGACTACTTATAGTAGCCGGGGCAGCTGAGTAGCATCTGGGGTCCGTAGCTCTACAGACTGCCTGGGCAGGAAGGACACGTTCTTCTGCAAGCCACTGTGGAACAGGAGTCGATTCATCTGGGTCTCGGCTGCTGCTGCGCCCTGTGGGCCCTCCTTCACTTGGAGGTGGCACAACTGCGTCTCCGGGGGGTCTTGCCGGTATGCGACGGCTCAAATCAACCATTTCTTGGTAGTTGGTCACACTACAATCACTTCGGTTTCCTATCCTGCTCCTGCGTTTTTTGTGAGACCGAACGGAAGAGCCATAGTTGCTGCCCTCCACAGAAGACATGCACGATGAGCCAGTGTGCATGCACAGACGGGCCCTGGCGACGGCAGCTAATTCGTTCATCGGCACGCCGGCCAATTTTAAGGCTTGCATAGCTTCTGCTCTTTCCCGCTGCCGACGATGTGCACGGCCTCGACAGCGGAAAAGCCAGCATAAAACCACAACAAGAGTGGCGGCGAGGACGAGAATAGTGAACACGATAAAACCAAGAATGCCTTCTCGACTGAACATTTGCTGCAGGATCTTTTGAAAGCCTCCAACTCCCTCCCTGAGATCAGGAGTTATGGCCCGAGAGCACCTGAAGGGAAGAGCAGGCCAACTGCCTTCAGAACACACCAGGCGATGCGACCTCCTCTGCGGATAGTAGCCTCGGCTGCACGACACTTCACGTTCGTCTCCTTGGTGCTGTCCCTCTCCTGTTACGATGTAGGCATCACCAAGGTGCTGAAATGCAGGGCAGAGCCTATGGCAGCTAAAGGCAGGCCTTTCCAGCTTCCACTCGCCATCAGTGCACTTGAGCCAAGAGCCTTCCAGCCCGCGCCCAGCCGCGTATCCATCAGCACAGCTCACATAAAGAGCATTTCCATGAGGAGCACTTTGTGTCTTGCCGCTGGGAGGTGCTCCATAACGGGCCAGTCGCTCTGTGCTTGCTTGCAAATGACGAATTGATGAGTCTTGTCGGCTGAACGTGTATGCTCCTTTAGGGTGTAGTGCTGCATCTGGGGGATTCGTGCAAGTGCGTCGGCAATCGAGGCCATTCTCTAGAACCCACTTGCCATTGTCGCAAACAGCTCGGTCTGAGTCTGCATCGTATCCTCTTATTGCGGAGAAACCGGGACCGCATGTAACGAGTACCGCCTCAGGCTCGCCTTTGTCTGACAATTGTGGTTTTTCAAGAACTGTGTATCGGGGAGCCAGGGATGTAAACGAAGCTTCACTACAAGGCTCAGACGGAATCATAAGCGGCAGCTCCTGAAGCCCCTCATCTCCCCTCCTTGGAGGAGACGGCCCAAGGCCTGCAGCGGGCGAGGTTACTTGCTCCTCTTGCAAAGAATCTGGGACATATTCCACATCAAGGAGGCCATTTCCTGCATCCATGTAGGCGGAAAGTGATACAAGGCCCAGCTGTCGCAACGCGGCGGCTTCCACATCTTTTACCAAAGCCTGAAGTACAGGTCGCATGCACAGATCTTATAGATGCCGTTCAGGTTGTCACTGCATTGCAGCGTGCCGCTGCATTGTGAAGGTATTGGTGATACACACAACGTTAGATGCAGTTATTTGGATAATGGGAGGCGCTTCTCCCAAAAAGCGAATGCGCATTCATAAAAGAAAAGTGCTGACAGGATTTGCAGATTCTCCGCTACCGAGAAATACACAATCAGCGAAAAGTGCAGTTCTTACTGGTTGTTGGAAGAGCTTTGCAACTCTGACTGCGTGCTCCCTTCCAGCGTCAAGGATGAGCTCCAAAGTGACGCCTCGTGGATCTGCCCTAGCGAAATGTCGAGCTACGTCCCTCTCCACAAGCCCTACCCTTCTTGTGAGGGCTGTACTGAGAGCTCTGAAAATCTCATCAACTTTTCCTGCATCCGTTAAAGTGACGTGAGAATTGAGTCCAACAACACGTAGCTCAACATGGAGCAGTGGCCTAGGCTCACCAAGGCTGCATGTTCGATCTGCTGAAGCTCCACAGACTTGTTCTGCAAAGGCTACAGTCCTTCGAGCTTTCCAAGAAATCTCTCCTAGCGGATGCGCGGCCTCAGCAGCTGCCACAGCTCCTAAAATATCAAGGCCCATCCCTAGGCAGCAGCCACTCCCGCCCAGTCCCCTAGCTGTCTCGTACTGCTTGAAGCATTTGGTTCCACACTCAAAATCTGGGTGGTAAAGGCTGCACGTGGGCTCCACAAGGGATGAGACGGCGGCATGCAGTTGAGCAAACATTGATGAAGGGAGACAATCCTTACCGTCCCACCCACAGGCTTCATTAAAGCACTCAGGGTCGCACTGACCATCCTGTGCGCACAAAGCAGATACAAAATGCCTCTCATCTGCGAACAACTAGCGTTGAGGAGCAGACATTTTGCGTAATGACTCACCTGGAGGAAGGAATGGGGACACTGGCAGTCAGGAAGCGGCAGCTCTAGCCCCTGGGCAGCAACTTTGTGTGGGTTAGCAGCTCTGTATCTGTCAAAGAAGTGTCTCCCACAGAAATCTCCCCTTTCGTTCCTAACACAGTAGAACCGCCCATAGGCTCTCATAACGGAGCCCAGCAGAGAGTGCCATGGGTCTCTGTGCCTTTCTCCGTATGCCTCGACTATCGCACCAACCGCTCCAGTAAGCGGCACGAAACAGCGGCTAGCACAGGGCTCCAAAAGTAGAGACGGGGTTCTTATAGGGCTTTCTTGGGCAAGAAGGACGAGAGTCTGTTGACAGTAGTCGTTCTCGACTTTAGTGCACACTAGGTTAAGCCCCTCTTCAAGCGTGTCAGTCAGAGGTCCCCGGAACCTCGACAAGCTACCTAGTCGCCTTCTGGGGGCTCCGTTGGTGCTCGAGAGGCCTCTTTGCCGCTGCAATCTAGTGTTTGTCTCAATGTGATGCTGCAAACCACTGAACACAGCAGCGGCGGAGGCTGCTGCCTGCAGTTGATGCTGCACCCTCTCGCGAGCGTCTACGAGGCGGCGATTATGTTGGTAGAACCCCTTTCTGGCTTCACTAGAGTCTATTGCCGCTCTATTGTGTAGACGCCGAGCTGTTACGGCTGCGGGGAGCCTTCGAGAGGTTCCAGGAACATGGGGTGACGAAACGAACAAGTCCTCTGGCGTTGCTTCCTCCGATGGTACATAAAGAAGCTGCCAAGCTGTTTGGAGCAATGTCATATTATCGAGGTATCTCAGGTTGCTTCTAAAGCAGCTAGTTTCCCCGCAAATTTCATCAAGCTGACTTGATGTTCTGGAACCCAAGGCGCGAAGATCTGCCGCCTCCAGTGCCTCTTCAACTGCGGCGAAGCAGTATTTGCCGGGGTCATCAATAGGGTCCCTGTAGCACCATGCCTCAGCTACGGCCTCTACAGCTTGCACAAGGTTGCATGCGGCCCCAACGCGCTGTTTATGAGCGTCCACGCGGGCAAGAAAAGAGGCCCAGCAATACCGTCCCTCCACGGGCTTCTCGCAGAAGGCAGCCACCGTTTCTTGTGACATTCGCCGACCGTAGAGCAAGGCGCCGCATGGTCCGTCAAGAAGAAGCTGCGCAGTTCCAGAGGAGCGGGAGATTCGGGTAGCATCTACAAGTGCTGTATATTCGCAACTGGCGATATAAAACGCATTAGCCCGTACAAAAAGCATCCATTTCAACGTATCAGCAGCATGTACTTTCGCAGCAACCAGGATCATGTAGAATTCGAAGCCAAATAGGAAATCCCCGGTCACGTGCAGGCTGACAGCATGCATTAACATACCTGAAGCTCTTCTTGAAGGCCGCAGCAGCTGTTGGCGTCAGCTCTGTAGCTTAGCGGGTCAAAGCATGCGCCACGAAGGCTGCTGACACCGGGTGGGAGGGGCAGGAGCACTGGAGCCTCTTCTCCGAATGAGTAATCCACTATGGCATATAAAGGGGGACCCGGCCTTTTCCCTTCCCTGTCAGGAAGCTGAGGCAGCTCTAGAGATTGAGACGAAGGTATGGGGAGCCCAGCTGCTGCAAAAATAGCCTTGGAATGTGAAGCGGGGGAGTATGAACCAAATCCGCCGTCCCATAAGGCTGCAGGTAGCTTCCTTTGTTCTACGCCTTCAATGGCAAACGCAAAAGGGCGGGTCGTGAGCGCAGTAGCAGCTGAGACAAGGGATTTGTCCGTAGGATCTACCAGGGTCACTCCCCGCTGTATAAACTGTTGCTTCAATGCCGCAAGGAACCGCTCGGGAAGGTCATCTGTCAGCATGCTTGAAAATGGCACAGCTGTTCGAGTCCACACAACCCCAGCGTCGATAAGCAATGGTAGAGAAGACAGCGGAGAGCCCGAAACAGCCTGAAGGCGACGACGGCTATCTATAGAGGCAAGGAAAGACAGCTCGCACGAAAAAGAAGTTCGACTGCTTTAGTGGCAGAAGAGATGAACGAAAGGCACGAATACGGGCAAGCTTAGCATGATAGTTTCAATCTTTTTGGAGCTGAATGACAGGGGGATAGTCTGTGCCAAGATGCAGCGTAAAACAGAATCAATCGGTAGGGGCTTTTGTAATTCCACAATTTTTTTGAACCTACCACAAGCCCCGCACGTTTTCCTACATGCGTCCTTGACCTTTGCTTCCTTTGGAAGCCAGCTTGGAAGCTGCTTTTTCTGGGCTGCAGCCAGGTCGTGTAGTTTAGAGTCGCAGAACGCTTCCATCATAGAACAGCTGTAACCCATTTCGGCAACACGAGGGTCATCCTCACAAACTAAAGACGCTCTACCGCCACCATCCCGCCGATCAAGGCCAACTGCCAGCAGCCGCAGCTCGTCTGGCGGCTGCACTCTCAGCGCCGAGGAGAATGCAGCAAACAAAGCAGGGACAGCTCCGTACTGTAGGTCCTGCGACAGAGGTAACGTCCCCCGCACATAGCAGCAGCAACAGCCGCCCTTATAATAGCCACGCGGCCTCCACTCGCGTAAAAATTGGAGAGATATGAAGGGCTGCAGCTTGTGCAGTGCAGAAGAAAGACACTTTTCTTTTTGTGGGAGACGGCCATTACCGTCCGTGCCCATTGTCAACATTCGTCTCGCGGGAAGATCATACTGGAGGTTTGACATGCAAAAGCTCTAAATTCATGGAGTCTTATGGCTGGAAATTTTTGTCTGTGGCACCCAAATATGACTCTATTTCATACAGCATCTGCGTGAGCTTGAGCGCGCTTACTCCTGCATTCCTTATGAACGCTTTGATGTACTGGACATTGACAGCTCTGGTTTCGCATCGGAGTTTGGGCTTGCTGAACGTTCCATCCTGGCAGATGATTTCTTCTCCGTTTCTTCCAGCCACGCGCACGAAATCTGCACGGCACGACAGCCGACGGGTAGCACCGTGAGCGGTGCCTCTTCCTTCCTGGATAACGCCATCACCTAGGGCCTTGAGGGGGGAGGGATCGCAGGGAGCGCAGGGCCTGCAACGACCGCCACAGTCAATGCCCTCTTCATCTCCATTCTGGAAGCCATCAAAACAAGTGGGGACGTCAATACAGCCTCCGCAATCAAGCATGCATGCATCCCGCACGGTGGTGCTCGGAGGGACCCCAGGGGGAAGCGGGTCGTCGCTGAGATCTGCCAGCTTGGCATTGCAGCCAAGTGGAGATGCCTTAACGAGAAGATTGCAACTGAGTCCAGCCCGCTCAACCATTGGATTGTTACTGCATTTTCTTCTCCTTCCAGCGGTGTCTGCTGTTCCTCCAACCCCTAGAGGGTCTCCACAAAGCCCGCATGTTTTTGGGCAGAAGTCTTTGATCATGTCGTGGCGGTGCAGATGGCTAGGCAGCGACAAGGACTGAGGCAGCAGCTCGCCGAGAGTTGTTTCGCATCCCTTACTTGCAAAGTCCAGAAGCATTGCACAAGAATAACCCAACTGCGGCAGGCGGCCATCGTCAAAGCAGTGAGTAGCAGCTGCTGCGCCGCCTGTTGTGGCTGTTCCTTCCGTTTCATTAGACCCAGGAAACAAGGGAGGGCAGGCGTTGCAGGATTTAAGACATGCATCCCGGACTCGCGTTGTAGGAGGGACCCCGGCTGGGAGAGCGTCTCCGCTGAGAGATGCTAGAAGAGCCTCGCAGCCTCCCCGACCCTCTGCTGCCGCAATGAGCATCTCGCACGAGTAGCCCATTTGTTTCACCATTGGATTGTCAACACATTGTTGAGCTGGGCAAGCTCCACAGGTGTACGGACAAGCATCTCGGAGAGTTGCTCCCTTTGGAACTTCGGGAGGCAGTGGCGTACTGGAAAGTGATTCTAATTCTACAGAGCAGTCCCCGTTTAAGAAATCCTTGATCTGTCGGCAGGTGTAGCCTGAAGGGGGAAAGGAGTCTTTCAGCAGTTGTGCCTGCCTTAATATGGTCAACAGCCTCACTAAAGAGGAGACAGACCCAAGAGTTTGGCTTGGTGTCCCGTACGGACAAAACAAGATTCTGGTGTATCAGCGGGGCATACCTGTCTCTTGCTCCACGAGTTTGTTGTCGCAGCAGCCGCCAAGGCAACTCGGCTCCTCGTCCACATGGGGCCGCAGGCGCATTAGTACTGACTCTGCGAGACATGGAAGGCAAAGTACAGTAAAGGACAGGTAATGCGCTACAGCTGGCCCTCAGGAAGCGGTGTGAGAGCGAAGGGTTTTGGATATTGTTTTTGCACACCCGAATACACCATGTGAAAGCCCTTAGCCCTCGCTCCTGATATATCCTTCTGGTTCATTGAAGAGCTCAGTTTTCTAAGACCCCGCCGATCTGCTGCAGCTGCCCGGAGTATTGCTGCTGCTTCTTCCCTGCTTCACTTACCTTCACAGTAATCACATGTATGGGGACACGCGTCGGCAAGTGTAATATCTGATGGCGTTCCCTGAGGCCAATGCTTCTCCTCAAGTAAGGAAGAAAGGGGGGCGGAACAGCCGCCCAGGTCCTGGGACTGTGCAAGGGCCAACAACAGTTTGCAGGACGAGCCAGCCTCTCCGACAAACTCAAAGTCCGTACATGCAGCGCCAGGACTTCTTGAGGGCCGCTGCAATCTCGTCGGGTCTGCGACCAGACATACAGATCAGCAGCGAGAAATGAAGATGAAGACTCTGCTTTCGAATCCTCCATAGGCTTTTGTCCCCAGAAAGCGGGAGATGCTACTCAGTATGAACCTGCTCAATGCAAGTTTATAAATTGGAACATTAACTGCTCGGCTTCGCAGCCACTACACCAGATGCGCAAAACAGGCTGTCGTGAGCGAGAGGAAAGGCCCACGCTACTCAGTAAGACCGTAGCGCATCTTACACACCACGAACACTCAACACGCCGGAGACAATGGAACTTCCAAAAGCCGGAGAGATTGAAGAAAACCTTGAAGACAGAAAGTAAGCTAAGACCACGAGGCCGCATTGTATACCGCTTACACTGCCGGCGTACCATCGCATGCATTGCACGTCTTAGGGCAGGCATCCTTAACCCTTGTCTGTTGTGGGATCCCTGGCGGCAGCGTTTGGTCGGGCTTGAGATCTATGAGTCTTGCTTCACAGCCTTCCCCTTCCTCTTCAGCCACTGCCAACAACAGTTTGCAGCTGTAACCCATCTCTGCCACCATCGGATCGTCTTGGCAAGATTGTGAGTCTGCTGCGCGAGCTCCAGGGCGCCGCAATCTATCAGGGTCTAGAAGGACAAACCAGAGAGGTTAAAAGCAAATCGTCCCAGTGTTTTAACACCACTTTCATTACCTGTTTTGTGAACAAAGCTATTTATACACTACGAAAACAATAGGGAACTGCAAAGGCAAACAGCCATTTGCTTGGGCAATTTTGGGTCATTCATCCTGCTTTCCAGTGAGAGGAACTCCAAGTGTCAGTAATATCTCCCTACCATTGCAGGCTCTACAGGTCTTTGGACAGGCATCTTTGACTCTTGTAATGGGAGGCACTCCAGGTGGAAGGGCTTCGTCAGGGTTTAAGTCTTGCAGGCGGGCGTTGCAGCCGTCCGGTGTATCTTGTGCGACAGCATAGAGGACCTTACAAGTGAAACCCATGGCTTTGACTTGAGGGTCATCTTCACAGGCTATAGCGGGGTCTTGTTCGTCGTCTTCCTGCTCCTGTTCATGGGGCTTGACTGGTTCTACGGTCACGAATGTTTCTTCCTCGTCACCCTCGGTGGCTTCCCTCTCTATCTCGGGATCAACGATCACCGGACCTTCGGAACTGCAGTCTCCTCTGTCAAACTGGCAGGAAGCAACGTTGCAGGCTTTGTCACAGTGCTTGTTACCAAGAAACCACAGAGGGCAGCCTCGAGCGCACTGCTTGCAGAGGCCACAGGTCTGGGGACAGGCAAGAGCCAGCGTTGCATCCGGCGGCAAGAAAGAAGGGAGATCAACCCCCGCGTCAGTCAACAGGAAGTCGCATTTAAGCATCTTCTTGAGAGCCTCGCATGTTTTACCAGACTTCTCCTGAACTTCTTTCTGGTCCTCGCACACCATCTCCACTCCAGCGACCATGGTTACTGGGACTGCTGGTGTCACAGCCTCCTCTTCGTCCGAATTTTCAGGCGCCAGCTGCTGGGCCTCAATCTCCATGCGCGTTTCTTCATCAATACATTTAAATGAGGCACGTTGGGTTCTACTAGTGCCTTCTGTCCCAGAACGGCCCACCTCCCAGCTGTCCGTACATCCGACAGCGGCATCTCCCCTAGCAGTTTCCGCTGCGCACTCCCCGCTAGTTGCTGCTGCTGTGAGACCAGAGTTTGGGGCTCCTGTGTTGGGATCGGATTGTGTAATGCGCCAAATGAGCTGCTTTTTAAGTCTGTTTCCTTTCGGAGGCGCTTCCTGGGCCCAGAGGAAATGGGCTGTAGGGCTCAGTGTGTCCTGCAGGAACCTAGGCATGCTGCCGTTCGGGTCTCCCCTAAGGTAAACACCATTAAAAACAGCAGCATCTCCTGTGAAGCCGCTGACCAAAATAAAGGGACACGGATCTGGGGAGCACGCAGGGAGCAATAAGGCATCTTCTTCGTCTCTCTTTAAAGCCAGGTCGGGCGGCTCAAGCGTGAATTCCCCTTTGCCTGAACAAATGACCGCCAGGCGCCTTAGAGAAGAGAAAGGAGACAGCCGCATGTCCGGGTCAGCGCAGCTGGCAATTAGGGTCTGTCCCTTCGTCATCATGGAAGTAGCGGGCTCTAACCTAAGCCCTGTAGGCAGCTGGCCGAGTGCACAGTCACCCCCGCAGTCTCCCAAGTCCATTTGACACGCTTCATTGTTGCAGGGCTCATCACAGTGTCTGTTTCCAAGGTCTCTAAGCTGACAACCGGGCGAGCATTCGGCGCAAACGCCGCATGTCTTGGGGCAAGCGTCGCTTACCCGCACCTCAGGGGGCACGTCCTCAGGGAATACCTGGTTGTTTTCCTCGGCTAGCTCCTGCAGCCGTCGATGACATCCCATGGCGAGCAGCACCTTACACTCCACTCCAGTCAGCAGAGGCACGTCAGGGCTGTCGTCGCAGGGGACACCGGGGCAGCGGTGAAGGGCACAGCCGCGGCGCTGCTGCAGCTCAGGGCAGTCGGCACCGTGGCCAGTGCGAGGAGACAGAACACGTCGTTCTCGAGTGTGAATGCCACCCCCGCATTCCTTGCTGCAGGGACCCCACTCGCTCCACTCAGACACTTTGCAGTCAGAGCCGAAGCAACTGAACTCGGCGCAAGGCTCAAACTCCTCCAGAGATCCGCAGGGCTCGCCTCCGTTCACAGGGGTTTCGAGCACCTGCACAAATGGGAGAGGTAACATTTGCTGCTCAGGAAACAAGGCCCATGTGGAGACGAAGAATTATCAAATGTCCCTTTCTGGCGCCGCCAAAGCATAGTAGACAATGAACATTTTTACCGGCTGCGTCAGTTTTAAAGTCATGTCGTCTGCCTTTTAAGGTGCTAGGGAGTTCCACGAGTGCTTTTACTTCCCACCTCTCTGCGCCTTTGCTTGTAGCCGCCTCCGCATGTGGCGCTGCAGTGCCCCCATTCAGACCAGCTGCTAAGGAGACAATCCTTTATACAAGGTGTATCCAAGGCACAGTCCGCTGTCTGTTCTGTTTCTGTGCACGGCTCTCCCCCGAACTGTTCGTTTGAGAGGATTCGTCGCGTTCTTCGCTGATGTCCCACGTCGCAGTCTCCCACGCACTCTCCCCAGTCCGTCCATGGGGTGTATGCGCAGTCCACAGGGCACGGAATATCTGCGTTGCATCCCCTTTGTACTTCTTCCAACGGAGGACAGAGGCCCCTCGCGAGGGCTGGGGGATCGCGTAGGATTTCCCTGTAGCGACGCCGTGTTGTTTCGCTGCCATCTGGCGGGAGACAAGGCGATGAGCACTCGCTCCACTCGCTCCATTCGCTCACTGGGCAGTTGGCCTCACAAGGTTGCAAGTTGCAAGCCTCTGCGTCTTCCTTGCTGCCGCTACAGGGCCTACCTCCCCCGATCTCAAATGCCTCCACGCTCCTGAAGCGCTGTCGAGTGCCGCCCCCACAAAGAGCTGAGCATTCTGACCACTCACTCCAGTTACCTAACACACAGTCCGAAGGGCATGGGCCAGCAGGGGAAAAGCAAACCGCCTCTTCGCGTGTGTGGCCGCAGGATAACCCGGGAGGATCTACTGATGCAGCTGAGAGGATTCGCCGGGATCGGTATATCTTTCCCTCTCCACAAACAGCAGAGCACGCTGACCATTCACTCCAAGGGGACATCTCACAGTCCGTCGCTGCGACAACGAACAACCGCGACACAAAAGCGATGGCGTCACTTTATTCAAGCCAAAATTTTGTCAGCAGTAGTCTTGTGACTGGAGACAAGACAAGCAAAAGTGCTAGCCCCTTCCTGTCATTTTTGTTTTTGGTCAATATTTGGACAGCGTGTCTATGCTATGTTCTTAGTAGGCCATTCTGTGCTTATCTTGGTATATGCTCGTCTTTGTGCCTCTCCGTGCGACTGCCGCCGCAGCCGCTAAATGGGTTCACCTCAGTGGCCTATTCGCTACAGACTATTTCCCTCAACTCTGTAGTGCTGCTTACGACATGGATATGATCCGCATATCTGTGTCTCGGCCAGGTTTGGACAGTCTCGGCCTCCGTTGGCAGGCTGTCTGACCACCGATCGCTGCCGCTGTTGCTGGCCGCCGCCGCAAGTGGCGGTGCAGCTACTCCAGGCTCCCCAGGCAGTCACTTGGCAGTCCAACGCTGCGATCACATAGGTAAAGAGGTATGAATCAAGAGAGGCGCAGTTATAGCAACAGATACGGGAGAGTTACGGTTGCTCTACTGGTGATGCAGGGAACCTGAACTACGCAGGGTATTGCATGTAATGGCGAATGTCTAGTTGGGTTGAGGGAGTGCACAGAGAGATCTTCTAACTTTATCTTCCCTCCAGGTGATTGTGTGTTGTGTGTTTTATGGCAACTCATTATGTTCTTACGGCATGGGGGCCCTTGGCAGGCCTCGAACCTCTCTGAGTCAGGGCACAGGTGCTGTAGGACTCTGCCACTTGCATCTTTGGGGAATGCAAGGACCACACGAGTAGAACGCCGCCTACCGGGCCCGCAGGTGGCATCACAAGGCCCGTAAGCTGACCACTCCCCCCAAACACAGTCCGTCACTGCTTGTCCTTCCAAGGCCTCACAGGGAGTGGTGGCACAAGGCCCCTCCTCAGCCAAATCTCCGCACGCTTTGCCGTTCCCCTGGGGTACGCGCGTTATTTCGCGGGTACGACGGCGAATGCCTCCTCCGCAGGGCCTGCTACACGCAGACCACTGAGACCAGGCCCCAACTTGGCAGTCCACATCGCAACGAAACCCAAGAGAAGAGCAAAGCACAGACTCTGTCAGGCTCGCGGGGCTCGGGCAATCGGGGGCCTCCAGCAGCACCACTCGGCTGCGTGTTGTGGTAGGGTTGGTGTTTCCAGCCTGCTAACAGACAGCAACCATACACGCCACGTCTTTAGTTCCCTAACTCCACTTGTGTCTAATTTCTACAAGGGGTACCAGAGGCTTGTCCATGAGCATCATCTTCACCGTCAAGTGAATTTATCTTCATCATCTCATCTTGTTTTTGTTGAGACTAGAATTCTTTCCTGCATGTCCTTGCGCCCTTTCACCACTATCTTTCACGTGCAGAAAGGATTATGCAGTTCATCATATTTGCGGCTGCAGGTGGTGATGCTAGCCTTCACCGTGCCACGAGGCTTCATATGCAAGCAACGGCAGTGAGTTTGTGCAGCCTTTTTCACAATGCTACAGCGCAAAAATAGAGTCTTGTGACCACAGCAGCCCACCTGCATGCACAGGGCTCCACAGGAGGCCCATTCTGTCCAGTCGCTGAGTATACACTTGGGCGGGCAATGCCCGCCGCAGGGCCGCATCTCCTCAAGAGCTCCGCAGGGACTCCCTGTTTCTGAGGGGGCTTGCAAGACCTGGCGGGTCCTTCGTTGCTCTCCCAAACCACAGGGATGCGAGCATTCCCCCCACGACGACCACTCACTAAGGAGGCAGTCAACCCTGCAGGGGCCTCGGTCACAGGGTCTGAGCTGATCAAGAGGAGGACAAGGGTCGCCAGCCCCCTTGGGTGCCTTCAGCACCTCGCGTATTCTCCGCTGTGTCCCCACCCCACAGAGGACGTTGCAGGGCGTCCAGGCGCTCCATTCAGAGGCGACGCAGTCAACAGCTAAATTGCAAAAATGCAGAAGACACGCCCAGCCAAACAATCCTCAAGGCAACAGCCAGCGGCATTAGCACAAAGCAAACGAGGCAGCAGAAGCTATGCGGTGGTTGAAGGCAGTCGGAGACAGTTATGTACGGAAGGGCATGCCAAACAGTAGAAGATGCAAGACTATATTGCGAGACTTGAGCGCTACACAATGATTGCGGGTGATAGCCACCAGCCGCTTAAATCTATTATTTGCCGCTGTTTGGACACATCGCCTCGTAGAGGCAAACGGCCTCAAAATGAGCTTAGACTCAACAAATCTCTTCTATAGAGGGGCAGACGGGAAAAAAGTCGGCCTTCGAACTGAGCTCTCACCGCAGTCGTGTAAATTGCATGGGGCGGTCTGCGTGCTGGGCGGACAGTCCGTATCTGCCTCCAGAGCCTCCACTGTACGGGTTCTGGTCTTGGTGCCGCCCTCACAAGGCTTGCTGCACTCGCTCCATTCTCCCCAGTCTCCCAAGTTGCAGCCGCCGTCACACGAAAATGTATTACAGCTTCTCGTCTCCAGCAGCTCTGGGCACCTTTGGCCCTCCGCTACAGGGGCTGACAAGACGCTACGCTGCCGCGTCTGCTTTCCTCCTCCGCAGGGAGCCCCGCATGCAGACCACTCCGTCCACTCGCTTACCGCGCAGTCGGAAGAGCAAGAGGCGAGGTAGCAGCGGCGCTCCTGTTGCAGCGCGGGGCACTCTTGGCCTGTAATGTGAAAAGAGGAGCACGGTTGCAACGGATGCTTCTGCATGCAAGCACTATTTCTATTGAACAGTCTACAGTGCCTCAATCTGGGTAGACTATTACAGCGAGTCCCTTCGGGAGCCCCTATTTAGCCAAGTTTTAGTCAGACTGAATGAGAGAGGCGTAGTAGCGGAGATGCTAAAGGAAAACAAGTGTGGGCCTCGCCTTCCTCATCAGGCTCCTTTAAAACTGGACGCTCCCGGACACTGATGCCTGGTCCACATGACTGGGAGCAAGCCGACCACTCCGTCCATGCACCCACTTGACAGTGACTAGGACAAGGCACGTTAGCGTTGCAGCCTTGCCGCGTTTCCTGCATAATGGGGAAAAATCAAACACGCAGGTCGAAGATATCTAAAAGGCGCGAAAATGCTAGGAGAAATCTACAAACAATAAGGCTCGAGCACACTAATAGGCACGAGCGCATGACAATGCGCGTGGGCGATGCGTGCGAACGGCGGGAAGCAAAGCTCCACTGTCCTGCGTGGTACGAACCAAATCGCACTCAATACAGTCAGTAGGCCTCCACAAAACTCCAACTGCTTAACGATTAGGAATGCTAGTGCAGGCAGGCCTTAAAGACCAAATGCAGCCTCCCTCTTGATCAACAAATACAACGCAGAAACTGCATTCATTCCAGCCTATGATGCAGTGCAAGAACCATTTCATATATGTTGTTTTGAGGACACAGATCTTCTCTCTTTCGAAACCTATCCAGGTCCAGGATAATGCGTCTGTGGTGGGTTTTTCGTAGACAACCACCTGCCTGCCCCTGTCTCCGTGCGTCTACAGGCAATTTAAAGCTCGCTTTCATGTGACGTGTGAGGCTTTAGTTACAAATAGAGTGAGTCTGTGAATCATACGCACGTAGCTCTGGATGCTGTTTCAATGCCGTTTGCTAGTAAAATAAGCAGTGGACGCTGCCTCTTGCTGCTTATATTGCTGTTGTCGCTGCTCTTGCAGTATGTCTGCAGAGGAATATACGCCACTAAAAACTACAAGCATACCTCCAATTTGGGGCACGGCGCTCCTCCTTGCTTGGCTCTGCTCTTCACCTCCCTGCGCCTGCGCTCAGTGCCGGGTCCACCGCATGTGACACTGCAGGGGGACCACTCAGCCCAAGGCCCGACGACGCAATCTGCACTCCAGCAGTCTCCTCCGTCGAACTGACAGGCTGCGTTGTTGCAGACTTCATCGCAGAGGGTGTTGCCGAGAAACCAAAGAGCACATCCTGGGGCGCATTCTTCACAAAGGCCGCAGGTCATGGGGCAAGCGTCAGCCACCCTGCTGAAGGCAGGAATGTTTGCAGGGAGCCTTCCGTCTGGGGATATATCAATAAGACGTTTCTCGCACCCCAAGCGACCCCCAAGTGACCGCGCAATTAGCCGACACTTTACGCCGAAGTCCTCCACTCTTTCATCGTCTTCACAAATCAACCCGTTGCTTTCCAGCAAAGGTCGAGGGCTCCGAGAAACACCGGAGTCCAAAGGATCTGCCATTTCAAGAGAAAGAGCGCCTTGTGGCTGCTGCCGGCGGCGGCCGCCACCCCCGTCAGACCCCCCGGATGAACCAGTGCCCCCCTGCCGCTGAGAGAATAGACCCCCAATGCCTTGAAGCCGCCGCACTGCGAACTCAAATACTTCTGATTGGGTCAACATTTTCTCTGAAGCCTTCTTTTCCAAGGTCTGTCTGTCTCTTAATTTACTTTGCTGCTGCTGCTGCTGCAACTTGTGCTGCTCCTGTCGCTGCTGAGGCTGTGGAAGAACAGATATTGGGAAGGCCGGGGCCTCATGTCGTCTGCGATAGAAGTAGTCGGGGGCCTCGACAGTGAAATTGAGAAGACACCGGGGGTCCATTAGGGGGCAATCTGGCGTTTGCTCATTCCACTTCTCTGCATCTTTTGCTTGCGTGCAGAGGACGCAATAGGTGAAGACCAGCGATAGCCCTAGGAGTTTCAGAAGCTCCCAAAGCCTTCTGGGAGCTCCTGGGCGCTTGCTTTCCTTCAACATCCTGGAGATTGCCCAAGATGAAGCCCGATGAACTGCTGTATTGCTTTTCATTGAAATTGAGCGGGAGGTCTGAATGCCTTTCGATAAATCAAAGAGGGGCATGTCGGGCTTTGGCTCTAATTGTCTACCTCGGTTCTCCTCAAGAGGTTCTCGTGGTCCCTGCCCTAGTTCAGCATGGCTACAGGTACTTCCATCGGCTCTCTGGCGGCTTAGCATGGCCTTTCTGTTACCTTCTGGGGCGTTCGGGCCCGTGAGAGCCCCTGAGGAGGAAGGTGGAGGCTGTTTAGTCGTTTGGCCGAAGCAAAAGTGTTGAGGCAGAGAACGCCCGTGTTTGGGACCCTGACTCATGGCATCTGAAAAGATGGCTGAGTTTTGGCGACAAACAAAGCAGATATAGAAGCTTCAGTGCTACAGAGGCAGCACAAGCAATCGCCAGCAGCCCTGACAAAGCATTAAAGACACCGCAGCCTGCAGTGAGGCCACGCGTACATCCCCTTGCGCCGGTCGCCTATTTAGCTCGGGGCTCACTAACGCAGAAAACAGGCATCTAGGCTTTTAGAGGAAACAGAACCAACAAGCAATGAAAAGTTTGGATTCAGATGACAGGAGACATGACAGGAGACAGCTTGGCTGCTGAGACATTGGGGGCAAAGGGCCGGCTTGGTTGTCTTTTTTCAAGCTTTTGTCTGTGTCGAGACAAAATTCATAAAGCGAATGACAAAAGTTAGCTGCAGCTTGGCTGGAATACCACTAAGCTATATTGTAAAGAGCGGTACACGCATACAAGGGTCACTTTGCCGGCGTGAGGAAAACACTGCTGCACAGCCAGGGTGAAAACTTGTCAAAACCACGTTAAAACCAATTTGAAAGCCTGAAGAAGCCCCAAGGGGCCCAATGAATAGTCACAGGATACAGCACAGCGCTTAGCCACGCCCCACCGCCGCCGACTCAGCAGGCGAGCAACACACAAGCACGCCCCGTCTGGGGGGCTTCCAAGATGCGTTCAGGTGGAAAAGAGAAGCAAAAATCAAATACACATCGAAGACACAGAAGGGCGGCAGACTCTAGCAAGCTTTGCGGCTGCTGTGGGAGACACACAGGCGGCTCAGGTGGCAGCCAGTTACCAATTCCATATGCAGCAGCACGCTCCTCAGCTGAACGATCATAAATTATTATTAAAGACTTTGTTATGTAAATATATGTGTTATTTAAGGTCATCTGGTGAATTAAAACGGTGAGAAACATTGGAGTGTTTGGAAGAAAGAACTGCCCATGCCCCTGGCCCACGGCCGAGCACAGAGTCGGCAGAAGGTCGCGTGCCGCCGTGTAGAGCACAGGGTGGGACTGCACCAACTTGCAGGCCAAAATCTGAAGAGCCAAATAGAGCGAGACTATCTAAAATAACAACTACTCCTTTACAAAAACGGGCGCTGCGCTTCAGAAGGCCTGACGAGCAGGCGCGGCGTCTCCTTGACTGGCTCACTTGGAAGCTTTGCTTTCCACCGTATATGCCGTTCACCAATGGGAAATTACGTGCATTCGAAATTGATTCAAGTGATTGAAGAGTAGAGCCTCCCCAATTTCCCGCTTCTAGGAGTTCCAAGTGGCCTCACCGTCTGCCTAGTCTCCGCCCTGCAGAGGCAGGAGGGGACTGGTGCATTTTCGTTCCTTCCCGTCTGCTAAAAGGCGACTGCATAATAAGAGCAGCTATTACTGATCTTGAGGAGGCGTAAGAACACCGCAGCAAGTTACTGCATGCAGCCTCTGCAATCCGATTCCACGGGGGAAGTACCGAAAGTGTCGGCGTCGATTTGTTCTGCAAGGCAGCTTCAATTTCAGCGCAGTATAGTTTGAAGTGAATTGGGGGGAAAATTTGATGTGCATACTTTGCTTCACTTGAGTAGAAATTGTCTTCAGTGGGATGCTGAGACTCCCAGGTGCAGCTCACCTCACCATTTTCGTAGTATTAGTACGTATTCTTGTTGAATTATTCTTTTGTGGTTACCATTTTGTAAAGCAGCTTTAATTACTACATGTAATTTAATATGTTGCAGGAATTAATAAATATTTATCGGCTGTTTCCCCATTTGCAGTGAGACTGCGCTGAATCGCCTAGCAATGTCACAGCCATATTCCACAGAATAACAGCAGGATCATTCTTTCCTGAAGAATGATCCTGCTGTTATTCTGTGGAATATGGCTGTACTTTTAACGCGTCAACCTGCTAAGATTTGTCTTTGTTCTCTGCGCTGGGTTGATAAGACATTAGGCGCACTGGGTCTTTACACAAATTTTTAGATGAGATTGAGCTCCACATGGACCATAGCGCAGCTCGCTGATTGTAAGTGTGATGATGAAGCCAAATTTATTCTTGAACTGGTCCAGGTCTAGCTCAAACACCATGCCAAATCAACCCAGGGAAAGTCGGGGATTGTCGAAGGCAGCATGGAGCAGCTTAGAGCCGCACTGGCTGGCTGTAGCTAGAGCAGATTAGTTAGCAACTAGATATATCACTAAGGGAGTGTTAAAAAACCTCTGCATCCAACGGTCTGTGCGTTCTTGCCTCAATATCCACGTAGTGGCGTACATCAAACGCACTCCTGCGAATACACGTGGAACGCGGGAATATACGGACAATTAGAGCCAGCATATCGGATTAAATGTTTTGCAGAAAACTATTGCAAATACAGTGTAACTTCGAAACAACGTGAGAACAAAGAGCCACGGGAGAAGGAGAAGAGAACCGGAGGGGTGTGACCGCCCCGCCACCGACCCGAACACCATCAGCCCCAATGGGCCCCCAGCTCGAAAAAGGAAGAAAAACTGTCTAATTCTAATAGTCGTATATTATTTTTATTTTTTTGGCGATTTTGTTATAATTCCTTTGCCATTTCAAACCCCCCCACACCTCCCCGCCCACAGTCTCCTTGCGGCTGTGCGCCGATGGGCATCACCAACCTCCTGGTACTGTCTTCCTCTTTTCACCTGCTTAAACACATCAGCTTAAGTGCATAAATAACTTAGAGTGACACAGGATGGCAGAGGATATGTTAGCCATTCAAATGCACCGGAAAGGCATCCTAAACGTACGTAGCATGCAACGCGGAAATGAACACTGTCTGCTGCTTTGGTCACGCAGTTTCTCACTTCAACGAATTAGCTGCATCCATCAGTAGGAGTCCTCAGCGAAATACTTGCGTGTTTGCGTGCTCTGTTTCTTCTTCCTGTGGATTTCTTTGAGGCACTTCCAGGCTTCCTCTGCATTTTGTGTGCTATACTTGTTTCATTTCGCATTTGTTTCAATTCTCTTGTGTCTGCCTTTTTCGCTGCCTTAGCAATTTCTCAAGCCCATCACGTTTCCTGGCCATGTGGAAGAGTAAGTCCTCACTGGCCAGGCAGCAGCACATTTGTTCAATCCAATCCAAAATACCAAACAGTGAGCCTGGGCCTCGAGATATGCCCGTAGACCAGGAAAGCTAACCTTCTAGAAGCCCCCTAATCTCCGGCTTAAAATTGTAGGCTCTGAATTCAAAGCTCTCTGGTGGTCCTTTCTATCCGTGCAGCTGTAGGGGTCAGGTGGTCGGTGTCGACGCCATGTGCTGGATGCACAGAGGGGCCGCTGCGTGCGCTGTGGAGCTGGTAGAGGGAAAGGATACAGACAAGTATCGCCTGAACTCTCTTTATTTATCGCATCATGGCGTTCTTGCGCTCAACTGTTCCGTCTGTTGCCAAGCCCTGAATCTCTCTCGGTGGCCCCTTGGTTTTGCTCTAGCTGGATGTATATCGCATCCCCTCTACTTCTGCTTGTCTTTTCCTCCTTTTATTTTTCTCTTCTTGTTTAATTTTATGCCTTTTTTTTGTGATTCTGACATTCACTTGTTTGTGGCGTGTTTCCGTCCTTACATGTTTTTTGTATTTCTGCGCATTACGGACTGCCTCGGCACTTTCCGCCTAACATTTGTTCGTTTGCGTTGCGTCGACCTTTGCTCACGCCTTTTACTTCGGATTCAGGTTCCTTCGCTTTTTTATTTCAATGGTTTCTCTCCTTCGGTACTATGGCGTCACTCCACTGATTGGTCAGAACGAACATCTATTCTTATCTGTAGTTTATAAATATTGGAGTATAAAGTAGATATATTGATTTTCATTTACACTGTCACCTTGGCTGAATTATTTCGTGCATCTTCGTGTCTCTTTGTCCTGCGTTCTGTGTGCGTCTATCCCCCTTCGTCTTGACCTTTGGATGCTGTTTTTTTCTTCCATCATTGCGCTCTACGTCTTATGCATATCTCCTTCACTGGGCGTCTCTCTTTTCGTGCCTATCCTTAAGTATCTTTTTGCACTTATCTGTCAACGCCTCTCTTCCTCTCCCGCCTCATTCCCGCATGCAATTCCGCATTCTCTTTACTATGTTGCTGTCGGCTCGTGGTAAAAGGCGCCTTTATTCACTTGTGCTCCTCTTACTTCACAAAGTCGAGAGGAGACCTCCCGATTATGCATGGCCAAGGAAAAACGCACAGTGCTGTAGTCAATGGCAAATACACAGAGAGATTTGAGTGAAGTTTAGAAGAGGAAAGCACGCTAAAAGAGAATAACGGAGCACGCGCAGACAGACGGATATAGTTAAACGACTGCAGACGGGCAGGGGCAGAGGCAAACAGTCGCACTGGCGGGCACAGGTAAAGCAAGCTAAAACGGAGAAAAGCATGTATGAGCAGGCAGCAGAGAGCAACACAAAGTAAACAGTGACAAAGCGAGACAAAAAAGCGTTTAAGGCTGGCATATTTTTGCCTGCCATTTATTTTGCGTGTCAGACATCCTATTCTTAATACACTCTTTCCCATGCTTACCTTCTTCCCTATATATGTATCGTGTGCCTGTGCTCGTTCATCACTCGTTTATGAACTTTCGTTTGATTCTGATCACATCCGTTTCTTTTTTTGTTTGCTTTTTTGGCCCAAGTTTTCGATGGAAGTCGAATTGACGTCAAGTCTGGTGAA